GCTAAACCACATTTTCCTATACTTCTTTTTCTTGCACAAACAAAACTGTCACTCTTGAAGGCTTGCTGACTGGCGTGCATTCAACTGAGAAATATTTCCAAACAAACGTTTTTGGAACTGAGAGTCTGAGAAAATTAGCAACCGAAAGCTGTCGAAAACAATATATGCGGAAGCAACACAACCTGAAAAAAAAATGTTAGCAGTGTTCTTTTTCGTTTGCGGCTCACAAGGCAATCACGCGCTCGTCTAGCACTAGCAGACAACGTCTCAGCGTTTCCTCCTCTGCCATCAACAAAAGCGCTGCCATAGCAGCATCAGCAATTTTTTATTTATTTTTTTAGTTTCACAGTTCGGCCTACCAAACATGAGGGGACAAATTGGCGCTGCTTGTGGTGAAGTTTCGATTACCTGGGGGGTATACTCGCTGACCTATAGCCGTGGTATTTACAACTGCATCGTATGCAGCAGTGCTGCGCGCTGGCCACATTGTCGGGCAGCCTGCTGATTTCATTGTTACTGTGGGAACTAGGTGATATTCCGTACTAAACGTTGTGCGCTGCCAACCTATCAGCGTTTATTGGCGATAACAGGGTACAAGAAACAGTACTTAACAGCATACGTTGTTTGCTATTTCGAAACGGTGTGGTTTGAGTGTGTTCACATATACTTTTTTGTGTGTGCACCGCAGTACGCTGTGACAGGGAAGTCTATAATGAGCATGTACCGAGTGTGGTATTTATATTTCACGCAAACGAAAAATGAAGCACTCTACACTGCCGTGCAACTATGTGGGTTTAACAATAAAACAAACTAGAATGAGTTCAGAAATTCTTTAAGTCAAGGTAACGACTTTAAACGTGCTTCTCAATGGAATTCCATTTCTCAATGTCATTTGAATCACTACAACACATTGACTACTTCGGCTTTATCACATAAGCACTATCACTTTTTTTTGGTTCGTATGTACAGGAAGTACGTGCACTAGTAATCCTAGCTGTTTACACAAATGTGCTAACGTAATAATACTCCTATCGCTGTGCCTGTGTTATATTGCGAGTATGTATTTGTGTAGTTTTTGTGTACATATTTTTCTTCTGGTCATGAATTGTTACTGATTTATGTGGCAAAAATGCTGTTGAATATAAATTGCTATGTGTACTTGTTTGTATGAGAATATTTATTTCGTGTGTACATTGCACGCGTTGAGAACTGATTGATTGTGAATTTTTTGTTTGATTTGTGTGATTTGTGGCGTTTAACGTCCCAAAACTACCATATGATTATGAGAGACGCCGCAGTGGAGGGCTACAGAAATTTCGACCACCTAGTGTTCTTTAACGTGCACCCAAATCTGAGCACACGGGCCTACAATATTTTTTTTTTGTACAAGTGCTTGTTCCAACTCCTGCATGGGCTCCGATTTGAGCCTGCAGTATTCTGTAAATGAATAAATAAATAAATTCAATATATGACGCATCACTCACTCATCAACACCGAAAAGCACGTGTGAAGCTTCCAACTTCACTTAATACCTTGTCATGTCCCCTGTGGCAGTGATGACGGCGCTCATTTTGAACGGCAGCGAGGCGTACAGTGACGCGATCCCGATATCGGCCCAGTTCCCGCATGCAACGGCAAAATTCGCCCGCTGACTGACAAATGCGGCCAGCGCACACCGCCGTAGACGACGACGTGGTTGAACCGCGCGATTGCCGCGCGCTACGTGATTTACCCCAAGTTTGAAACAGACTGTACCTCTGGTACGCCAGTGAATCGCTATATAAAACATTCTCGTATAACAACCACTCATGAGTATCTCTCAAAGATGTGATCCTTCTTTTTATATTGTGCATGACATTCAGCGGCTTTCCTTGGTTTTCCAAGTTCCCAAAACTTGGGTCACCACACACACTCAGGCCAACAGGTGTGCGCAGGTGGGCATGTCACCGCGTACGTGGGATACCAATATTCTTGTGGGTAATCCCGTGATTTTGAATGATTTCGACGTGTAGTCGCGTTTACCCAGTGGGTGATCCCGCAATATGGAAGGATGAAGGCACCCCCAGGGCAACAGCGTAAAACAAGCTCTCATCGCCCTATTACCACCTAAGTATACCTACCTCCCCCCCCCTCCCATTCTCGTATAACAGAACTCAAATAACGAAAAATTTTTAAAGCATGTACTGAATACATTTGCAAAAACATTGTTGGTGGCTATAAATGATTGAAAAAAAAAACTAGTCTGGCGAGGAACATAAATCGTGCATGGGACCCACTCCCTGAAGTATACGCAAGCAATTTGCATTTTTTGACGAATATATAATAAACACCGCTGTAGATTCATTCATTGTAAACAAGGCACCCGTTTTGGGCGCCGAAAGGTTCAATTTTATCCGTCGAGTGTATACGCTTGCTTCAGTCATCGTATACATAGCTGAATCTACGTCTTTAAAAATGGAACATGGTACTATAACTGCTTAAGTTTTACGCGCCTAAGCCAAGATGTGATTATGAAGCACGCAATATTGGAGAAATCACCGATTGATTTTTGACCACGGGCCGAGACTGTGCCCCTAAATATAAGTACATAGGCAATAAGCTTGCATATCATTCTGGTTTGGTGCTCGAGTTTAAAGCAATCTTGCAAACTTCAATAGAGCATAAATAAACATAGCATGACATTACACGCAGCATAAAAAACAAACAGGGTTGTCAATAGTTCGCTTTAAGTTCAGAGAAAACAGTTAGGTACGGCATGCCACGTAATGCACTGGACAGGTAAGCAGTGGGCATGTAAATGAACACACGAGCAGTGCAAAGGAACACACACGTCTCACTAATTGGAATTGATGAAAAAGAGTGGTGAAAGTGTGAACGGGTTCGGTTCTAAAAGATCGGAAGAACAGGAGAAGACAGCAGAATGCTAAGAAGGCGAATAAAAAAAACAAAGGGGTGGCATTAAATTGAGTCTCGCGTGAACAAGCATAAACTGGAGATCTTTGGGGAGAGGCATTCGTCGTGCAGTAGACAGGCTGATGATGGCGAAAATAAACACTTGTAAGCATCGCTTCAGCACAGCCATTTCACTAAAACTTCGCTTTATATATATTTCAATACGTATACCTGGTCTTTCTTTTTACTCGGCGAGAGCCGGCTAAAGCGCCAATATACGCTAGATGCCTAGCGACAGCACGGAACTTCAATTGTAACGAGCCTGTTCCCGAGATAGTTCTGTGTTCGCACGCTGAAGAGCACCCGTGCGTTTTCTTTCTTTCCTTCTCGCCTTATGGTGTACATTCTTTCAGTATGCGAAGCATTTAACTTGGAAATAGTGTCACAGCGGGTGCACGTCCCCATGAATGAGCCGCAGTTTGGCGGCAGATCTACACATCGGCGAAACAAAGTGTTCTTAACTTTTTGGAATACCTTGCACAGGACAAAATGTCATCGCTATAACTATCTGAATACTAGACGTAGCTTCAATTACATTATTGCATCGGTATTGTGAGCATCTGCAAAAATTACGCAATGTTGCTAGCTCTTTGTTTTTCTTTGACGTGTGCAACCGTCATGCAATCATGATCACCGTTCGTTTTTCCACAATGTAAAGGCGAAAAAATTCAGAGCGAAAAAATTCTTGACCTGCACTTTCAGTAATGGTAACGCCTTCACGTGCTATTCACTATGATATTTTCCAAGCCTTCAAAGGGGCACACGCGAACAGTCAAGTATAGCGAGAAAGAAATGCGATCGAACAGTCGCAGCAAATGTCTGACGATCGAGATTTAAACACTGCAGATTCCGCCCACCTTTCGTAACAAAGTGCGATATCCACTGCCAGTTTTCCTGAGGTGTCAGAGAATCACTTGCGCTAAAGAACATTACTGAATGCACATGAGACAATCAGTAACGTTACCTGGCGTTCCTAAAAGGCGCATAGTAAAAAAAAATGCGACATGCTTTCAGTGCCATGGCTTCCAGCCTGTTGCTGTGGCGGTATCACTGATCGAACAAGTAATGTTTCCCAGCGCTTGAAAAAGCGAGCGCCGTTGAGGTATACGCACACACAACTTGCATCTTTCAGAAATATATTTGCATTAATCAGTACGCAGTTGTATGCATCAGCCGGTATTAATGTCTGCACATCCTATTGTCGCAGCTTCCGCTATCACACAATGTTTTTCCAGGAGGCTGCTCTCCTGATAAAACGGTTCAAAGGTTTACCTAACCTTACCAGAACTCTGTTTCAATTGTAGTCGTTAGGTTGTCTAATGAAATTTATTTTACCCTTGCGCATGCAAAGGCATACTTTTTGGATCCATTAATCGGTAAAATATCGTCAACCACATTCATTACATCGAGCTTCTCCATTGGTTGAAAGAGCGAGGTTACGCAGCGTAGCATTATCACTTTCACAAGGGATGACCCGTACAGTAATGGGTACCAGAACGCAGTTCATACTTATGAACGGCGCAAACTATGAGAACATAAGGACGGGTGCCGGCTGTCTCATCATTTTGTGTTTTCAGCATTTTGTGTCTCGCGTTTTTTGCACCGTTCACAACTATACAAGAACCTTCACCAACTCGCCTAAGAGTCAGTGCTATAGAAAACAGTTGCTGTCAGTGCGAGTTTGCTTCTGCCAATCATAGTTTTATGTGCTACGTTCACAGCAAGCATCGAGAAACATTTCGCCCGGCCGATAAGAGCTGTCAGTGGCTCGCCGCCTTTGTTGTATACGTGTTCTGTGGTCTCACGTTTCACGAAGCCACCACATCTGTCTTCGATTCTCTGCGCGTGTTTTCTCTTTTCCTTGAGGAGCCGAGATTAGTTTTGGAAACCAGCAGCAAACGGCATTGCCAGCTTTCTGTGCAAATATCGTGAGGGGCAAAGCAAGAGGTTGCCCTACACAAGACTCACTCGGCAAACAGTTTTCCGAGAGGCGGAACTTCAAGCGAACCGTTACGCTACGTTCAGGAAAAGAAAGCAGACCCACTCACATTGATGACTGCTCTCGGCGGCTCCATATTGCCTGCCGCTTCTTGATGAAGAAAAGCGACGCTCGAGGCGAAACCGCCCATGTGGTGCGTCGGGCAACACGAATAAGATAAGCCGGAACTACGGCGGGGAACCGTCGCGCCGCCGCCCCTCGGAGCGCGACTACGTCACCGCGTAGCAGGACTGATACGGGACGGGACGATGTTGATATGGAGCTGCGGAAGGGTTCCCAGATAATGTCACCTAAACGCGCCGAAAGCACGTTGAATGCAGTATAAAAGTAACTAAAGACTGAAGTGTATCTCAAAAATAGCCAAATGGCAAAAAAAAAGACATGCGTTACATAATCGCTGTTCATGTAGGTGAAATAACTTGAAATACGCTGCTGCTCTTTTAATATTGCTTTCTCTCAGCCTTCGTTCACTTCACTGAGCTAGACTAAATTGTCTAACCCAAACGGTGGTCTGACCTCTAAGAGCTTGAAACACCTCGTACATAAGACAACTGTGAGCTCACATGCATATAACACTTCAGTGAAACTTCAGCACAGTACAGTTTGTATGACACGTTTTTCGTGTGGTTCGTAAGATATTATTCACGTACCTCACCATGGCGGTCTAGTCGCTAAGGTAGTCGGCTGCTGAACCGCAGGTCGCGGGATTGAAGCCCAGCTGAGGCGGCTGCATGTTCCATGGAGGTGAAAATGCTGTAGGCCCGTGTGCTCACATTTGGTTGCACGTTAAAAAAACCCCAGGTGGTCGAAATTTCCCTAGCCCTCCACTACAGCGTCTCTCATAATCATATGATAGTTTCGGGAGGTTAAACTTCACATATCATCATCAATAATATTCACACTTTGCAGTCTTATCTGTTAAGGCACTGTAGTATACCATAGTGTAATTCTTAGGCACAACTGTGAACGTGCGTTCTCACGTTTTATGAGAGCTTGTTGGTGGGAGAGTTGAGGAATAATTGACATCTTCAAATGAGTGAAAAAAAAAGATGTGCACATGAGAAACGGCAGGACAGGCGCTTGTCGTGGTGTGCTCTCTTTAGCGCTAAATTGAAGTCGTCGTCAACTATTCTCGCGCTTTTTCGTTGTAATGAAGCGGTGACGTCGTAGTCAACTTTGCGACCGTAAGTACGAACGGAACAGCCGGAAGAAGAGTATGTGAAATAGTTAAACGTCAATCAGAAATTTAGCTACAATACTTGACATCGGGGTTGCCGTTGGGTAGATTAGAAAAGGAGTCATAATTCATGCCAAAGTGGCCATGTCATTTAATTTTATCGACATATTTCTAGCCAGTTAGAATAAAGTGGTGTTATGAGTAAAGTCTTAGTCACACTTAATATAATTTTTATTGTGCAAAACGTGTAAGTATAAGAAAAAAAATTTTTGTAGCTTGGTCTTCAAGCCACGTGTGAGTTACAGAAAATTTATTTGTATACTTATTTACTTACTACAATGTGAAGAGCATTAAAGAGAAAAGTTATAAAGAAAAGTAAAAATATAAAAATACAGTGAGTAAGAGTGAATAATGAACAGATTTCCAACAAATTGTACAATAGTGGCTACTGTCTCTCAAATACGATTATTATCACCACTTGAACGCTAACGAAGGTGATTTCACTGTTTTCCTGTGCTTGGAAGAAAGGCTTCGTCTTTTACCAAATGTAATGCCTACCTGATAGCAATAACCAATGCGATGGGACATATAACGTGGTAATAAAACAAATGTGTCGTCAAGGGGGCTAAGGTGGTAAATTGTACTAAATAAAATCAAGTGGCAAAAATATCTATGAATCGATAGAGACGGGAGGAGAAAAATTGCATTTCGTGGCTGTTATGCTAAAAGCACGATTGAAATCAGAACTAATATTACACTCTTCTATGAACGTATAATTATTAATAACAAGCTCTGGCACAACAGCAGGCACGCCATGCGTTGCGTGGGCATGCCTCGATACGCACCAGCCTGCTCCCGGGACAAGGACACCCGTGTGCATTGGCTGACGCAACAAAAAAAGCTTAGCAAAAATCAGCCGGTTGTCTATAGGCTTGCTTCTTTCTTTACATACAAACAATAAAAATATTGGCGACTAAATGCACCAAAGCGAAACCTCCATGTAGCCAATAATTAGCCATGGCGCCAACCTGAAATTTTGGTAGCCAGACGGGAACCTAAAGTAGGCAATATGGCACCAAGTGGCCACCAACGGCAATCGTGCTTGACATCTTCTTTGACACAAAAAGAAGACAAGTACATGATCGACGGCAGGACAAGCGCTACAAAGAACTGGTTTATTTCAAAGGGGTGGCAATGAAATATCTAGCATAGCGATGCGCAGACAGAGCCAGTGCATATATAGACAAGACCATACACTTATCAGGCTACGTACATCGCATCCAAAAAACTCTATCTCATTCTTACAAACGCAGATGGCCCTGTCGCCGACGCAATAGTATCTCTTTTCCTTGATATGGTGTGCTTCCCTAAACTCACGGGCTTGTTGTGTCCGGGCTTAGCGATATAGAGAGAGGGATAGAGAGCAAGGACCGGGAGGTTAATAAAGCTTGGCTGGGTTGGCTAGCCTACACTAGGGGTGGGATAAAGAAGGAATAATAGAAAGAAAAGAGATGAAGAAAAAATAAGAAGAAAGATATGGATAAAAAAATTGGCAGATCCCACTTACAGTGGGAATCGATGATATACGAAGCACGAATGAGGAAGGTTGACGTATCACTTTAAAATCAGCACAACGTTAGGAGGCGCATGGATGTAGAACAAAATAAACACAAGTAGAATTGTTTTGTGCACTCAGGTATCAAGATAAGATACAAGTATGTTGTTTATAGTCACGTAACGACAGCACCACTAACGTTTGCAATACCAGCCCAGCGGTGGTAGGCATGTCATTTATGTCGAACATGACTTCCATATAATAGTTATCATGTTTGCGCCTGGCATTTGTGTTTGTCGTGCATTCACGTAACGTAGTTCCAAATTTAGTATATGTGAAGCTAGTGGAACAGCCGTGAGCGCGCTATGAGCGTAGCATGTGGTCATGTGCTACATGACACGCATATCATGATTATCATGTTTTGATGTGTCACTCAACTTCATCGTCCATTCACATCACGTAATACGAAAGTGAGTATATTTGAAGCTAGCGAGACAGCCATGAGCGCTTCATAAGCGTGGCATGTATCATGTTCTTACATGACACGCATGTCATGATTGTCATGCAAGCACCAGTCACATACCTTCGTCATCCATTCACGTCATGTAACACCAAATTTGGTATTATGTGAAGCTAGCGAAACGGCCGCGAGCGCACTATGAGCATAGCATGTACTCATGTTCTTACATGACCAGCATATCGGGATTATCATGTGTGCACCTTTCATAAACCTTGATCATCCTTTTACGCCACATAATACCAAATTCGGTATATGTGAAGCTAGCGAAACCGCCGCGAACGCATCCTGAGCGTGGTAGGTAGTCTTGTCATTAAATGATACGCATGCCATGATTATCGTGTTTGCGCCAGTCATATATCTTCATCCTTCATTCACGTTGCTTAATACCAAATTTGATATACGTGAAGCTAGTGAAACGACCGCGAGTGCACCATGAGCGTATGACACGCATGTCATGATTTCTACGTTAGGGTCTCTCAGTTATGTTCGCCATGCAATCAGGTCATACCATGCCAGTTTTACAATATGTCATGTGAATGAAACCACCGCAAGAGCAGCAAGACCATGACATGCAAATCGTGGCATACATATCTTGATTTTCATGTTATGACTAGTGACGTATTCGCGTCACTCAGTCATGTTATTCCATGCGAAATTTGGTATAGATCCCGTCATCGAAACGGCCAGGAGAGCTAAAAGCCGTAGGCGCTTAGATAGATAGATAGATAGATAGATAGATAGATAGATAGATAGATAGATAGATAGATAGATAGATAGATAGATAGATAGATAGATAGATAGATAGATAGATAGATAGATAGATAGATAGATAGATAGATAGATAGATAGATAGATAGATAGATAGATAGATAGATAGACAGATAGATAGATAGATAGATAGATAGATAGATAGATAGATAGATAGATAGATAGATAGATAGATAGATAGATAGATAGATAGATAGATAGATAGATAGATAGATAGATAGATAGATAGATAGATAGATAGATAGATAGATAGATAGATAGATAGATAGATAGATAGATAGATAGATAGATAGATAGATAGATAGATAGATAGATAGATAGATAGATAGATAGATAGATAGATAGATAGATAGATAGATAGATAGATAGATAGATAGATAGATAGATAGATAGATAGATAGATGCGCTCAAACTAACTGAAGTTCGCTAAGAAATGATTTGAATTTAATAGTGAGCTCGAGATTACACAGCATGGTCTCACGCTGTTCTTTCACAAGCACTCGTGAAGTCCGGTGGTCCTTGAAAAGCACAAGAGAGCTTTCGTGGATTTGCACTGCAGTGCCCTCGTTTGGATGGTGCGCAAAACGGAGAGCGCATGACAGGAAACGGAAGAAAATAAAGACGGCGCTTGGCAGTGGCACGTGAAGTGAAGGCTCTCGTTCCCTGCTGGCGTCGATTGTCATTCAGGCGTCTCTTTCCTTTGCTCCTACGGCGTAAGCCTACAAGCGGTGACCTATAGAACAACGAGAATGACTGATCCGGACGCGATCTCAACTGAACAAGCCTCACGTCTGCACGACGTATCGGCCTTGCAACTGCGTCTCCCAACTTTCTGGCCCCAGAACCTGCAAACTTGGTTTCACCAGGTCGAGGCACAATTCTCGCTGTATCGCATCGCTACTGCCACGTCGCCGCAGCCCTTCCTCCTGATATTGCCAGTGAGCTTTCCGATGTCTTCTCCAACCCCTCGGACACCTCAAGACTAAGGTGCTGGAGTGATTCATGGAATCAGAACGCGTCCCTCTTCAGCAGCTCCTTGTAGAGGGGGACCTCGGTGGCAGGCGCCCCTCCCAACTACTACGCCTAATGCGACAGCTCCTTGAGGATCACAACGTCGCAGCCCACTCAGCGCTGCTTCGCCAGCTCTTC